TTCTCCATGATGTTTCTCAGACTGTACAATCTAAAGAATTTTTAATAGAACAACAATAAAATACAGCAACAGCAACTTAATGCCTCAAGTTCCAGAGTAGTTTTCATTATTTGTGAAGCCCCTTTGGGTTTATTTTATATGTATACTGACACTTGTTAGTAACCACACCGTTATAGCATTAAGTCCTGGTGTGCATCTGTCCACTCATCCAAGAAAAGAAGCAAAAATCAACAAAATATTCAAAATCTGTGGCTCTGTGGAAATCAAAATCTGACGTTTCAAGGTTTATTTCTTTCTTGTCTCAAGTCCTTATTTTTGTATCTTAACTGGGTTTCAAGTTTACAGCTCTTATCCATGAAGATAAATCCCCCCCACTGACATTTAAGTCTCAGATTTAGCTTTAAATAAATTTTTACAATATGTCTGCTATGCCGTGCAGAGAACTTAAAACAAGTTTGTTTTGAAAAGCCCACATGTTAGGGTCATTAGCTGGAAAGCCCTGGCCTGGGCAGCACCAAGCGGGAATTGACTCATAGTCTGTCCTCCTCCACCGCAGGGCCTCTGATTTTTCACCCCTATGAAAGGCTCCCTATTGACATGATGAATGGTCTTAGCCTCATACTGGGGCACTGAGGGAAACTGAGTCATGGCCAGGAGGTCATCAGCCCGAGCTTGCTTTTTGAACATAACCATCCATATGTATATTTAGAAATACACCCATGTGCCTTAGAAGGTTAAAACACTTAGAAGCAGCGTAGCTGAGCAAACTTGATAGAAGAATCTATTCACATGAGTCAGTGGATATGTGGTAATATAAGGGCTTTTCAGAATGGTGAGGATGCCTGTGCTGTGATGCAGAGTCTGAGATGGATTTAAGGATCACTCTAATATATAATATAATAAAATAGTTGAAGTCTTCTTTTTGTCCCAATTTTAACTTTGTGCACTGGACTTCAGGTCAGATGATCAGCATCAGCTACATCCATCTATCCATTTATCCTTATCTGGGTCACAGGGGAAGCCTATCCCAGCTGCCTTCAGGTGAGAAGCAGGGTACACTTTGGACAAGCCACGTGACTGTCACAGGGCTAACACAATGAGATAAGGAACCATTCACTCTTACATTCACTGTCCTATTTCACATAGTTTTTCCTTCCCTTGTGCTCTGCTTCACTAAATGATAATATATGAGAAACATTAGGTTATTTTAGTCACATGTAAACACTAGCTTCTCATTTCTTTTACAGTTCCTCTCTTCCCCTGAGCTGGAAACTTTGTGGGTGGAGTCGGTCAAGGATTTGCCTCTAAAGCATGCTGGGAGAGAAAATAAAAAACATTTTATTTTCTTAACTTTTTTCTGTTTTTACTTTGCTTCAATAAATAATTCCTCCTGTGAAGATGCTGCTTGATTTTTCTGTCTCCAATCATGTGTCATATAGATGTGTGCAACAGGTTTCCTTCTCACTAACCCACCAGCGAGGTCAAAAAAAGAAAAGTTTACCAAATGCCAGTGAGCAAGGTCAAAGGTCATTATTGTTTATGGGTGTAGCTCAGCTGGATGAAATAAACAGTACTGTTTATTTCCATGCTTGGTCTGCAGAGATGATGTTCAAGATATGTGCAGGTTTCTGGTAAACAGATGGCTGACATCTTGTTCCTATTTTAAAATATGTCTGTCTAATTGTTTCCGCCTCCCCTGTTTAGAATAGAGAGGAACTGAACACCATGAAGTGACCAAATCCACCTTTCCCTGAGCATCTTAAAATTACAGATGCAGCAGGCCACCGTTCACCCGCGCGCCACGGGCCGCTTTATAGGACACGTGAGAACTATCAGGACCCCTTAAAGCTAAATCTCAGGAAGAGCTAAGGATGCCCGTGACGTTTCAGACATGTTATACTCCTCAAGCAAGCCTTTGAACAGAACATGTGAGACACAGATGGCTGTAATCTTTGGGTGGAATGGCAGACTGTGGGAAGAGGTTAATTTTAGCAGGAGAAGGCGGTGCAGGGGAGCCAAAATGTTCTTTCTTAAACACAGTTTCCTGATTGTTTGATTGTCATTCAAATAGATACTGCCTTAGAAAATTCAATACTATACTGTATAAACATGGAACATGAAGTACCTCTCTGTGGACTTACTATTTTGTTGCTCTTTTTGATCCTGTCTCCCACACTTATTATAATTGTAATTTCTTTTTCAGCCAGGGCCAGATCTAGCCTCTTATGTGTGGGCAGTTGAAAATGAGATGTGGGTAATTTGGATGAAAAAAAGAAAAAGAAAAAAAACTGCTAATAACCTACGATTTATTGAATCACTGTTCAGCTGCTGGCATATCTGAAATGACTCTGCAGATGATCTCTAAAAAAAACAAAAAACAACAACAACAATAAACTACTAAACTAATTGCTAATCAATTAACAAACTAAATCAAGAATATTCAGAGCTCAGAGAGATGGCAGTGGTGCACTTCTTCTGACCTTGGTGTTTCTCTTTGCCCTCACCACCAACCAGTCATGGCAGATGGCTGCCCTCCCCTGTCATTCCTTCCTGTTAAAAGGGATTTTTTTCCTTCCTGCTGTCACCAAGTGCTTGCTTATAGGGGTTGTCTGCCTGTTGGGGTCTTTACCATACAATATTTGAATTAGCAGTATATAAATTGAATTGAATCGAATCTCTGATTATGTCAAGATTATTTGCCAGTGGAAGGCTTGCTTTGGAGGTCTACTCTCGGCTATTCACTTAATCAGAAATCAGACGTGGCATTTGTGTTTTCTGTGCTGCTTTTTCTACTAGCTAAACAAAATCCAAAATCATTTTTCTTATCTAGCTATAACCAGCCTGGTTTCCAGCTGTAAACCATTCCACTCTTTCATGAAACCAAACATTCAGAAATGGAAGAAATGGAAAACACAACATTACATTTTGGACATCTTTTATTTTTAAATGGGCAGCACAAGAGTTACGTAGAAACAGGATATTTTCTGTTTCTACGTAACTCTCAGCAGTGTCCTTGTCCAGATTTATTTTACAAATTTGAAAAGATACAATAGAAGGCAGTATTTCATCAAGGATGTATATTTGTTTCTCAACATATCACAACATCAGAATGTCTCTTCATAACCCTGAAATGAATTGACCTTTGTGGTTTAATCAATTGCAATAATGGAGAATGCCTTTTATTAAAGCACTGCCATATAATTACAATCACAATATTTTAAACACAGTTCAAAATTGAGGAAAGGAGACTGGTGCACAC